GTTTTGGTTTGGACAAATGTTTTGGTTTTGACATATGTGCCGGTTTGAATAAATTTTGCGGTTCAGATAAATAGTTTGATTTGGAAAAATGAGTTGTCTTGAACAAATGTAACGGTTTGACAAATAAGTTTGTTCTGAACAAATGAGTCAATTTAAAGCAATGTGTCAATTTAGACACAGTTTTAAGATATCTAAAAAAAATTTTAAGTCCACATAAACTGTTGTCAATTTTTAGCGTGATCTATCAAATACTTTACTTGTAAATAAAGTAAATTAGGTGAACAATCAACCGAACTGAGATGCTCATATATTTATATATCTTGTCATGCTTATAAGTAATATTATTCGGTTCAAGGAAATTCGTATAGCTTAGACGGAAGATTACAGAATTTTACACATAACCTAAATAATATAAGCAATATGCTTACATTATAATGTCTCGGAAATCACATAAACGGTATAATAAAGATAAAAACGCTATGTTTTTTATATAATATACTAATATGTTATATGTAATATGTTAATATACTAATAATACAATATAATTTTTTTGGCGTATTAACAACAAATATTAAAATATTATTAATGAGTGACAAAATCATTTACAAAAAAATGATTGCAAGGAACTTAACTTCTAAGCGTTATTAAATTAACTAAAGTTGGATTAATAGTTGTAATTGCATATATTTAAACTACGTTCCATCAAAATTTAAACAATATTATATATATTAATTAATCAAAAATTTTAGAAAATCAAAAAAAAATTAAAATAATAAAAATAAATTTTATCCTATATAAATAAATTTTTATTCTATTCAGAATAGATTAAAAATTAAAAAAAAATTAAATTAAAAATTTAAATAATTTTTAATTAGAAATAAAAATTAATATAATTAAATAATAAAATCGAAAAAACTGTGAGTAATGAATTTATTATACAATATATTATAGAAAGCTGTCGTTGACATAACTAAGATTGCATAAAAATTCAATTAAATGGTTTTAAAAATCTCAATTGAGAAATTAAAGAAAATATTTAACATATTTAAAAAAGTCAAACAAGTGCAAACAACCATGTTGAGATAAGCCCTGAAGACAAACAAGCAAAACTAAAAAGTTTAAATAGAATTGCTGGTCACTTCAACTTTTTCACTAACAACGCAAAGGACCCACACAGAGCAGTCTTCTGTCAAGTGCAGCAGAGTGTATGCAATTTGTACTATTAACCTTATCACTCCTCAAAAGGATTTTCATATCCTTACATATCTTTATCTACGCGTACTTATGTCTACGAAAGTGGCCACAATATGACAATATTAAGCAGCGTTGCCAGCTTGAGCTGCTTGATGCGACGTTTATTTAAACTTTTGATTAGCTGTGCTGTAATGTCCGTCATTTGTATTAATTCCTGGTCATTTGCGAAGGGGGACTCCCATATGCGTTTAACACAACGCAATAATCATGCAAACATTTCCGAGTTACTGGACAATTTATTGCGCGGCTATGACAACAGCATCAGACCGGATTTCGGTGGTAAGTCATACAAGTATACCATACTTAGCATATGATTGTACAGTCAGAAAGAATATTTTTGAAGTTCTATAAATTAATCAAATAAAGTCGTATCTATAAAAAATACTTAAATGCTTAAGTTAAATTATACAAAATGATGTTGAGTGTATTTATGCAATACAAAAAGAAAGAAATGCGATTAGTTTTAATATAAAAACCATGTGTTTAAAGAAAAAACTACCTTCTAATCAAGCTCAAATTAATCAAAGTATGTGAAATCCTTCAAAGGAATGTGATTATTTACTTTTAAGAAGGAAGCAATCAAATATAGAAAACAAATTGATGAGGTGTGCGTTCCTTCGAACTAATCGATGTAGCCCTTTGATATAACCAAATACAAATTTTATGTGTTTTAAATAAAAATAATATTTAAATTAAATATAATGTGGAATTGCAAAAAAATTAATAAAAATTATTTTTTGGTATAAATATTTATGTTTTAAATAAGTTAGAATCACATGTGTTTGATAACTATCATTCATTTTAAGGATATAATATAGGATTACAATATGAGCCGGGAATTTAATGCGTTTTGTAATTGCAGAATAAAAATATAAATTAAAATTGAAATTAGTAATTAAAATTACTAATTGAAGCAGCAATATTAAGATTCTTCCGTTGGTCACATGTTTTAATAGTCACATTCGTGACTCATCCTGGCCTTACCCAAAAGTCACGAATGTGATATGTGCACCAAAACATGGATATAATTATTCAACTGTAGACTTTACCATAGCAATTATAGATCTTCCTAGATCAATAGCCAATAAAATTGTAACAGAGTAGTTGAAATTTTAATTCGCTAGCTAAAGAAGAAATACATACGATTATAAATTGCATTTGAAATCAGAAAAGATGTGACCCATGGACTAAATATATTTACTATCACAATAGCGTTTACTAAATATGAATATAGGAGTCAAAAATTTGTTTTCTGTGATCTGAACTCAAAATAAAAAAGTGATTTGGGATATGAAACATAACACAGGTTTAAGTGGTTCTTTGCAAAGTGGAAATAAAATCTCGGCTACTCTGCATTTTGTTTATGTTCTGCATTTTTTCAGAGGCTTATAGCCTTCAATTTTATTTTTAAAACAAAACACTGGTTTTATTTGATTATAAATTTATTTAAGTTTATAATATGTTTAATATTAAATAAAACTAATATAAAAATTAATATCCATATAAATTTTTATGGATATATACTAAAACTTTAAAGTTTTGGATGAATTGTCAGTTTTCAATTTGTTTATTATATCTTTATATGATCCCAGAATCTATTTTTCAATCCAGATTTGAAAAAGTATACAAATATTCTTTTAACATTATTTCGGATAGCATATCATAGATCTTTTTATTTTATTTTATATTAATAATCTGCTTAGCTCCAACAAAATAATCTTATATTAACATAACTGTTTTATAAATTAGCATATAATTTTGCCTTATCTTATCCTCTCCAACATCTTATTTCTTAAAAAAAAATGAAGACATATAGATATATGTATTATATATAGTATAATAAATTCTATATTTCCAGTAACAAAAATAAATTTCTTAAATTGTCTGAATTAGAAAGTAATGATAGTGAGATGAAATCTATGCGGACATATTTTTATTTATAATTCTAATCCACTTTAATTAATCGTAGTTATATATGAAAACTATAACTACTATAAAAGTGTCGATTTTAATGTAATTATAGTGTGATCTCAGTTTTACAGCTACTTCACATGAGAAGCTCAATTTTATTGAAACAATTTTATTTAATGTTTATATTCCATTTAATATTATTTAAAATTATCAATGAATTATAATAAATAATTCAATTAAGAAATCAACTATTGAAATGCATAATAGTTATATATTAACCATAAGTTGATTTAATTGAATTAAATACTATGTTCAGACATACCTTAATTTCGTAAAAATCTTAATTTCATCTTCGTCTCATTGGAATTAAGTTGCTTTTTCCATACAAAATTCAGTTTTAAGGTTAGAACGAAATTAAGGAAAGTGGCTTCAGTTTTGAGGTTAGAACGAAATTAAGGAAAGTGACTTCATTGAAACAAGGACTGAAATTAAGGGACAAATGCAACTATGCGTAAGATAAATTTTAAGCAAATAATAAAGTTAAGATAACGAGAAAGTGATTTTTTTTTTAAAAAAAATGTTAACAGTTGACGGAAAATATTTTAAAAGTAGTGCAAATAAAGAGAATATAGAGAAAGAACTGTAACTTTTATTAATGTAATATATAAAAAATATAAAAAATTATAGTTCACTTACCTGCAATCCTCTAAAACTAATAAAACTCCTGAATGCCATACTTTATAGTTATAATAATCAACTTTTAAAATTTCCCAGATACAAATGCTGTTTGGAGCATGTAATTTTTAATATTCGATTTGTAAACAAAAAACATATGATTTCCTTAATTTGGGCCAATATGAACACTTATGAAATTAACTTAATTTCATTTTTACGAAATTAAGGAATTTTGGTTATCAGAATATAACAAAAGGCTAACAGATTTTGGTTGCTTCACTGACCGTTTAAGTAGTATTATTCAATATTTTTTTTATAGTACCAAAATAACATATTTGATCACTGAATATAGAATGAAATTACAGATGTTAGAAGAAAATTATCACGTTCTTTTAATTGATCATATTCAGAAAATCTCATAGATTAAATCATCATTGCACCAATAAAAATAGGAACTCATTCTAAAAGCTGTTTAAAGAATATAACAAGATAAGTTCTACCTTTTACAAGTTCTATATCTTTCTATATCCATATAAGATGAGATAACCTTATTGTCATTGTCAACGTCCATTAAAATGCTAAATTCTAAAGCTTTGGGGAAATAATAATACAAGTATCTCTAGACATTTTTTCTTAAGCATTAGCATTTAGTCCACTTGAGCATTGCAAATTTTAAATTTAGAACTCAAATTTACGTACAATTTCAATCGTAATCAGGCACAAATTTCCGCAGATATTTCCTAAGGATAATGAATAAAGGATGTTTTGCTACTGTTTACGAAAAACAAAATGAATAGCGAACAAATTGGCAATTGCCTCACAAATCCGTAACAGCGTTAGCATCCGTTTTTCAAGTGTTTCGGCGGAAATGTAGTCAACATTTCCATTACAAAGTCATAACCAAAAACAATCTGTCTAAAATGAAAAAATCTGTTGAGAGTGAAAAAAAATTTCGTAAACGTCATTTTAAAGTTTAAAGATTGCGAAGCAAAAAATAATTTTTCAGCTTTAAAGTTTATGAGTGGCAATAAAATTTTTGCCTAGAAACCTAAAACAAAAAAGCTAATCTAATAGTGTCGCATTGGCACTTATTTTGGCTTCTTTTGGCTTATTTGGATAATTTCATAAAAGCGTTTCGGCATTTTGTGGCATTTAAATATAATTTTGATAAACCCGCCAAACGGAAACAACACTTAGTTGATTATTTTTAAGAACCGAACAGGCCGGAAAGTAAAGTTAAGCACTTAAAATTCAACGAATTTGTGAAATTTTTAATAAATTCAAACGCGAACTTATAATCGGCGCATTCGAGATACTTAATAAAGTTGTTAGCTGGAAATTATGCATAAGCCCATGCAAAATTTCCGCACATAAACGAAATTGCATATCTGCAAAATGCACTTAAATGCATAGTTGAGATGAGCACTCCGGCGCACATCCATTGCCAGGGACCCAGCGCATACATGAGCAACTAATACGAAAAATTAAATCGTGTATAAAAGTCATTAAAAAAGTTTACAATGGCGCTTGAAAAAATAATAAAAATAGGTTTCTGTAGTGGCAGAAACAAGGATGAAATACACTGAACATCGGAACAAAATTTGTGTGAACTTGAAAATAAAAAATTCTGTACAATCTAATTATAAGGCATACAACATACAACAACTTCAAGTTAAATTAATTAAAGCATTAATTTATCTCTATTTATCTTATTTTCTTCACATTGTCTTCTTAAGGACCTCCCGCTACAGTGGAAGTGGATATAATGGTACGCAGCATGGGCCCTATATCTGAAGTGGACATGGTGAGTGTCAATAGCAAAGCACTAAGGCACTTTTAGTAAACAAAATTAATTATTTTCACCAAATCAAATTTATTTGCACGTTTTTGGTTATTTTTGTATTAATGAATAGAAATGTCCTTGTAAGGGTTCGAATAGCAAAATCGTTTAACAACAATTAAACTTCAATAAAAATTTTTATATGCACAGAGCTCTTACCGTCACCCTTTTTGATTTGTATTTCAATTAATAGACGTACTCGATGGATTGTTATTTCCGTCAATCTTGGGTTGATAAAAGGCTGGCTTTTGAAGGTGCCCAAGATACTTTAGCGTTAAGTGTTTCAATGTTGGCTCGAATTTGGAAGCCAGACACATATTTTTATAATGGCAAACAGAGTTATTTGCACACAATTACCACGCCAAATAAATTTGTTCGTATTTATCAGAATGGGCGCGTGCTGTACTCAAGCAGGTAAACTAATGACTTTTACTTATTACTTTATTATAAAAATATATATTTTTCTTTTTTATTATTCTAAAGATTAACAATCAAAGCTGGATGTCCAATGAATTTGGAAGATTTTCCTATGGACATACAAAAATGTCCTTTGAAATTTGGCTCGTGTAAGTAAGATATATATTATAGATAGATATATTATAGATCTGAATATGTAATTAGAATTAATAAAAATATATTTGAAAAAAAAAAAAATATATATATATATATATATATTAATATAATATATAGGTATATAAATAAATTTGTAATGGTATTTGTTAGTTCTGTATTTATAAACTTTAAGTGCTCGTTTTCTAAGAAAGCTATAGATCTATTGGAAAATAACAGCTTTTTTTTCCTTACCAGTTTTTAAACATTATTTACTTATTTTGTTCTTTTTATACCGGCTTGAACATTAGCTGTTCTTGAGACTACGCCCATTATTTCACTATTGTTTTTAGATCGACGTTTACCTCTGTTTTTCTTTGCTCCTTGGTTTTTGAAAAATTGTTCTTATATATATATAAAAACTGGACATTCTTCAATGCTATGAGTTCCAATTGTTTTACGTCCTAATTGTTACCTACTATGATGATTTATTAACACTTGTACCGATAAACGCCCCATTGGAATAAATTTCTACAGTAGCAATAAAAGTTATATATTTGGATATAACTTTCTCAATGACTCCATATAAAATGGTACCTAATAGATTTTTTCACATTTCAGGACAATCGTGCCTTTCCTCTCCAATATTCAAAATCCTTACTTCCAAAGGAATATGCAATGATATGTTGGAATATCTCCATGTCTATTGTTCATAGTCTGCTGTTTAAACTATCGGTATCGGATAATTTTTACTATTTTTACTTGCTTAAAAATCAGTGACCAGTTACCATTCCAATCATTGTTTTTAAATTCAATATATTTAAGCTGTAGTAGGTATTTACTTTTCCTTTTCCTTTCAGGTTATTTTGGGAGAAACTGCTTGATGTAGCAGAATTCTTTCCTATTGGATTTACACCCAAAATTGGCTAAAGGTTCTTTTGTTTGCTTTGAGGTATTTTCCATAACCTATTTGTCTGTCAATTCATTGCAATAATAGCTACTGGGTACACCGTGTGCAAAATCACATAATTTCTAGTAACAAGGTTTTATAAGACCTATCTCCTGAATCAATAAAAAATTTGTCGAATCTAATGCTTTAATGACTATTCTTACTATCTTACATAGAAATTATCCATTTGTGCCTTAAGTTTTATGATTGTAGATGTTTATTTTAGATATTTCTGGTGTTACCTCCTGTTAAGAATAGTGAAGTCATTGTGTCTTGACTAACAGACATTCGGTTCTCTAGTTTGTAAATTTTCTTCTTATTTTGGAGCTATCTATTACTAAATATCATCAGTGCCATATTAACCTTTTTCTGTTTTCAGTCCATTCTATCTGGTGTTATGGTGATTTATCTTCCGTTGACCCAGTATTTTGAGATCTTAAGATCTAGAAGCATCTCAAACTCTCCACATTGTTTTAATTTAGTTAAAATGAACAGTTGTTCTTTCTCTAGTAGAGTTTTATGAGAAAGACTGTATAGCTGACTGATATCATCTGTAGATATCATCTGTGATATCATCAGCTAAAGGGGTTTATCTTAGACAACCAGATATGTACGTTTTTGATAATTACAGTAACTTATGTTACATTGTTTGTTAGCATTTTCATTCCTTTTTATACAAAATTCTACAGTATTATATAGATATTTGTGTTCTTGTTCAAAACTTAACCACATTTCTTTTTTAAAATAATTATATGTGTGTTTTTCTTTGTGATTTGATAAATTTAAACAGATATCTATTTCAAGTGCGTTCTGTTTTTATTTTACTTTCAAATTAAAATCGTACTTTTCCAAATATAAAGCTATTTTATATCAAAAGACTTTTTATATTCATTGATTCTCGCCTTAAAAAAAATATAATAATCAAATATCAATGCAAATAATCTAGAATTTAATCAAAGGAACACAAATCACACAAACCACAATGTCTTCTTCTTTAAACATAACAAAAATAATTCAAATATTGACAAGAAAGTAACATATGTAATCGTAAGCTCCTATTTTCTCCCACTTTCTCCGTTTCCATTAATGTCATTATGTGAGCCTACATGTCGTATGAGCAACATTCATGCAATTTGACAAATAATTAAGTTGTTGTGATAACTGCTGTGCAAATTCAAATGAACAACGTAATAAAAATGTCAATAACTAAGAGTGCAGGATACGACACAGAAAAAGGCGTCTGAGATTAAATCTCCACGTTTGTGAATGGCAAATAAAAAAAATTAAACCATTACGAATCAAACAGAAAAAAGTGAAATTCATTAATTTCGTTTCTTAGGTGTAGCAACCAAAATGAATCTTGCCAATATGCCATTTTCACAACAACATTTTGATAATTTCTGTATTTTTTCTTCTTGTCAACACTACGAAATTCAATTCCCATAGCGCCAATAAAAGATAACATGAGTACTTCTGATGAAGTTCTGATGGGCGCAAATACAATGTACATATGAACACCCTACGCAACCAGAAATATTGTGAGTGCTGACAGCATTCAATTTTATTCTCAGCATATTTACTATGACAATAACTAAACTTGTTAAGTTATGGGGCGATGAAACTCAGGATAATATTATTGTTGAATATCATTAACAGTTTAAAAAAAGAAATATTTTTTTTAAGAGTAAGAATAATGACACTATAAGCCACCCACTTACAGTCCAAAAAATAATATACTGACTATGAACTAATCAAATAAAAGTTCTAATATTTCCTAAGATCACTGATGATGAGTACTTGGCAATACTCAAAACAGCGTTGTATGGTCAGCCGAATTTAAATAAATTAATCAAATTTTTTGTAGTTATTGTTTCTTCATTATTTTTCGAACCCCGCCCTAACAATCCTCAAGTCCACTTCTGGACTCTCAGGAAGATATGCTGATTTCATGTCCGTCATCAACTAAAAGACAAATAAATGATATGATTTCTTAGCCTAGTTAAAGCCTAGTGTGGGGTAGAGATAAGCTCCCCAGCCATTATAGAGTAAAAGTGCGTAATAGCACTAACTCAAGAAGAAGAGTCAAGAATCGAATCCTTCTAGTTTTTTTAATTCATAATACGCATCATATTTGACAAAAAAAAATTAATATTAAAAATCTTATTGTTTTGTTCTTATTCTAAAGAACTTTATCAATAATACTTATGATATATCATGTAGAGAAGCAAATATATGTTGTCCTGTATTATTTTTATTTTAAACTTATCAAGTCTTCAAGCATGCTTTCAAATCTATTAATTTGACATCTATGCTAACTTAATAACGATATTGTATTTAATTATTAATTGGGTATATAACTTAGTTTTTTTTTATTAAAAAAACCAATACATTTCTAAAAAATGCTAAATTTTATTTTTATCAAAACATGATGGACATTCGATCATCTTTCAATCAATGGAAAAAAAATTGCTTGTCTTTTGATGTGATCCATTCAACGAGCCATTTTTTGGTTTCTTCGTGTTTTCTATCGGAACAAGTAGTACTCATAATTTGATTGAGAATAATCTGGTGAACAGTTAGCATGTGGTAGAGTTTCCCACTTCAGTCCTTCCGAGGTACTTTTTACTTGTGTTGAGATATATGGTCGAGCATTGTCTTACAACAATTTCTTTTTATGATTTTTATAAATCAATACATGTTTCCAATCTATCCATTGTTGTTGGTAACGAACAGCAGTAACTGTTTCATTCGGTTTTAGCACCTTACAGTGAAACACGTCTTCCTGATCTTACTATATACACAACTTAACGTTATTCTTATTGCTATTGATTTTATATGGATGGTTAGGCTGGATAAACCTATAATTTTTTGCGTTTACGGTTATAGTAATAAATCCATTTTTTTTCGCCAATTTTCACAGCATGTAAATATAGGCTGCTTGAAACTGCTGCTTATTAAGAATGTTAACTACTATCAATCTAAGATTTACTAATTGAAGAAACTTTTTATGTAGTCAACCTCAATCGACAGCGTTTGTATTACCCTTTCGATTGTCTTCATTAATGTACTTTCTAAAAGTATGACCTTTCTGATAAAAACTGTCTCTGAATATTCGCTCTAGATAATCCTTTCTTACTACGGGACCCGAAGAGAACATTGCATTTCGATTATGTTCATAATGTAATTATTATTATTAGGAAAAGGGATAGTGCACTGCGACCTAAAAGATCTATTGTACCCCTTAGTCAGATTCAAATCCGATTTCTTTAATGAAAGACAGTATAGAACTTATCTTCCCTATTCTTGAATCCTTATGGTCCATGAAATGCCCTTTTAAATATTTCTTCCACCTGATCGTAGATCGAATCAAGTCTAAAAGACTGTTTTATTAAAAGTACTACAAATTACTCTGAATAAATTTTCTTATACTTTCTTAAGAAAACTTTCTTAACTCCTGCATCATTCTATTATTTATGTGACATTTAATATGTATGACTATATTAAAGAATAGCTTAATTTATAAAATAAAAAAATATTCACAATTTTTGATGTTTTCCTCCTTATCGCAGTTGGATACACAACTGCTGACGTCATCTACCGCTGGAATAAAGAACGTCCTGCGGTCGCCATAGCTGAGGATATGAAATTATCACAGTTTGATTTGGTGGATTGTCCAGCAGGAAACATGACAGACATTGTTTACAAAGCAGCAGCGCCAACTAGCAAAACAATTCTTAAAAATAAAACATTAACCGCGTTTGCTGGGCCAGGAGCTAAGAACCAACATGCACGTGGCATTGGTCTGCAACTCGACAAAGGCTTATTTGGTAGCGGTAAAGGTGATGAAAATGACAACAATGGTAGGGTACGTGTGGAAAGCCGTGCTTGTGAGTAAAATAAAATTAATTCTATGAAATTAAAACTTTAATTTTATTTAATTTTCATATATTCCTTATATTCTCGACTTTTAGCTGAATACTCAATGCTCTTGGTAAACTTCCATTTACAACGCCACATGGGTAATTTCCTCATACAAGTATATGGCCCCTGTTGTTTACTTGTCGTACTCTCTTGGGTTTCATTTTGGTTAAACCGTGAAGCCACTGCCGATCGTGTATCACTTGGTATTACAACTGTGCTAACAATGACTTTTTTGGGTCTGGAAGCACGTACTGACCTGCCGAAAGTGCCATATCTAACAGCTTTGGATTTTTTTGTATTTCTCTCCTTTGCTTTTATATTTGCCACAATACTACAATTTGCTGTGGTACATTATTTTACAAAATATGGTTCAGGAGAATGTTACTTCATCATTGAGGATGCTGAGTCGGAAACGGAATCCGAAGTTGAGGAACGCATTCTCAAAAGCGATTTCAACTCAAGTACAGATTCGAAAATATATGAAGTAATACCTTTATCCATGTGTTCAATAACCATACCGAGTAGTGGTAAGACTTCAGCTAGCAGTAGCGGCATCGGTCTTGGTAGTAGATTGGAACGTAAAACTAATGAACGACGTCGTCGTAGTGATGGTTTTAGTTTTTCCTGTTTGAACTGGCCTTGTTTTCATAAGCGCCATAAAAATCGAGTAAATTTCGATATGTCTGATGAGGATGATGAGGAGTCTCATTTACGTGGTGGAGAAGGTAATATGTGATAGATTTTTTAATCAAAGTTAATGTTTTTGATTTAAATATTGCAGATGGCACACCAAGACGTTCGGCTGGTCGTCGTCGTATGTCATTTTATCGCCGCGAAGAATTAGAGGCACGCCGAAAAGGCAAACGTACACCACAATATAATTCTGTTTCGAAAATCGATCGTGCCTCAAGAATTGTTTTTCCACTTCTCTTCTTCCTTATTAATGTATTCTACTGGTACGGTTACTTGTCACGTAGTGCACGTATACTAGCGCACACGCCATCATCCTCCTGATGTTACCTTTTAGCAATTTAGACAAAGTCCTGGAGGAAATCAAAACAAATGAAGCAGCTAATGGCAGTCACTCCATAAATCGAATTCTTTAATTGAGTTTGAGATCAAAAGGGTACAACATCAACTAATTTATGCTATATTCAATATGATTTGCTGGAACTCTTCAATCTTCTGCTTCTTAAGTTTATTTAAACTGATTTCTTCGCGCTAAATTGCTAAAGTAAAAAAATATTTTTAAACATAATTTTAATAGGGACTACAATTTTTTGCTATTGACTTCATATTAAGTGAAACATATCACTTTCTATAATGTCAATGATATTATTAAGTATATTTGTGTATATTTATTTGTGAATATTTTAAAGAATCTAAGGAATATGTATATTTGTTTGTAATAGTCTTAGGTTTAAGTATATAATTATATATAATTATTATGTTGCTATATATGCACCATTTCTATTAACATGTACGTACTTAAGATTATATTTTTTGCGATAAAAGACACTTATTGAGTATTTATTATATATTAAGTTAATTTATATTACAAGTAACAGAACTTACCCGTCTTACTATAATTTCAATATTCATTAGTCCGGATACAACTATTATACAACATATCACTAACGACACACATTTAATGTGCATAGTTCTATAAAGAAATACATTATTCAGGAAAGGTCCCACTATACTTTCAGTCACTGTAACCGATTTCTGACGATATTAAAGTGTCTTCTGAATCATACAACATTTTACTTATATTTGACAGTTTTATCTCTAGACGCTTGGAATTTATACTGCCAATATTATTATTCCTTTACTATTATTTAATTTCGTATATATATGTCTACAGGCTTTAAGAAACATATCATGGAAAGGATTAATAAATAAAAAATATTTTTGCCTGTGTTAATAAAATTCAATATATGTTTTAAATAATTTTTGTTACTTTGCTGACTTGTCTGCCAATATTTATAGCCCTTTATATCAGAGTACAGCCCGCACAACAAATCCAAAAAATATTTACAATAATGTGGAGACATAATATATATATTAAAATTGATTATAATAGTCTTGCGCATAATTTAAGATATTCGCAGTTCCCAGTTTCTCTAGTTTTTTTTTATGGAAAATAGGAGCCCTGATATGATAATATAGTGGGTTTAACACAATATTGTTATGAATGCAGTAGCTTAGTAATTTGGCAGCACTAATGTACTCCAAGAGTCTTATTTGTCTGGATTTTATATCTTTGATTTTATAGTTTGTAAACGTAACTTTACTTCCTGTAACAGAGAATCCCTCAATAATAATTTATAAATAATAAATTCAATATATACACATTATTTTCTTTTTCTAAAGTTGCTGGACAACAATTTTTTATTTTTATAACAAATTATTCTTTTATACACAGAAAACTGAAACTATTATATATAAATATCTTTTAATCATAACCTAAAACATATCTCTCTTCCCTATCATCTTATTTCCCCTTTGCCTACAAAATATGTAATTGATTAAGAACTCAAGTTAAATGCAAACTGAACAAATGTTGTTAAACACATTATTTAATAAGAAAGTATTTAATAAAAGTTAATTAATTATTATAATAAATTTTTCAAATAATTATAAAAATGTTAATAGATCTCCGAGAGCTGGTAAATAAGTATCTGGAATGTATTTTCTGTAGTCTTCTATATTTGGATATATGTTATGTAGTTTTTCTAGCTGATAACTTCCAGTACCAACAAGTAATGTTTGGAAACCACAGTTTTTTCCGAATGTTACATCAATCTTGCAACTGAAAACAGGAGTTAAATATTATAATTTTGTACTGGATCACATATTTAGAACAAAATTTTTAAAAGTGTAAAATAATATAAATGAAGTTAAGAAATAATATCTATTAAGAAATTACCAATCTCCAATCATTAAAGTGCGTTCTGTTTTCAACACTCCAGCATTGATAAGACCTTCACATATTAATGGATTCGGTTTACCCATTTGCATGACAGCACGATCGACACAAGACTCAATTGAACTCACAATGGATCCCGTATCGGGTATGTGATACATTGGAAACCTTTTT